AACATATGCAGCCCGAACCTTTTTTTATGAAACATTCAAAGAAAATTTTTTCAGGTTTGCTCGATGGAAGCAAGAAGTAACATTACATTTAAATTATGTTCTACCACGGGCGTCTTTGTTGGGGCTTCTCTTTTCAAGAGAAGCAAGACAATGTCATTGGAAACACGAAGAGCTAAAACTTGCTCTGCCGAAAAATTAAGGACACGTACATGATAATTCAAAAGTTCATTTACATCAGGTATCATGAGTAAACTTTGGAATCCTCTTACTGCGATCAGAAAAAGTACTTTGCATATATAGGCCTCTCTACTTGGAATAGAAGTGTACAAATAATTTCAAGTGTTTTCAGTTTGTAACTTTCGTACAAATTTCCATTAGGAGAATTTAAGTTTTTATCTTTAGAAATTTCCCAATTTTTATACATGTTTAGCATCCTCTCTTATTTAAACGAGATGAGAACTCAGGTCTAAGGTCCGTCACAGTGGACTTCACAAATGTATCATTCCCCTCTATATCCATACAGATAATATATTCCATATAGATTAAAAATAGTCATCCAATCTGAGATTCATCTTTCTGTTCAAGACACAGGCCTGGTAAGGTATCTATGATTTCTGAAGAAGCAAGATAACGGAACAGAAATAGAAGAAAAAAGATACTTACACTAATTCCAAAAGTTTGATTTGAAAACTAGATTGCAATAATGTTGGTAAAATCGGCCTGTCCTATGATAAAGAGACGCTTGGCATGTTCCCTAAAGTACTTCGATGTTTGACAAATAACATTCAGATGTGCAGGAGTTTGTAGTACAAATAATTGTACTACATACAATATTTTCAGTAATTCTGAATCTGAATGGATGAGGCTGTACCAGTTCAAGCAGTATAGTAGTGTTCATGGTGTGGACAGGGAAACAGTTTCAGTCTGTCTATGGATCCTGTGTACGATCGAGTCTGCGAGAGCTATGTGAGGTTTTTTAAAAGGACTTCCGTACATGTAGGCCACCGCTGTTTGATAGAAAAATTAGGCGGATCCACAGTGCCATAACGAACTCTAAATAATGGATGAGGTGCAGCAAGAAGTCATGTACGGTGGTTGACAAGGGTCAAACAATGTCACATCTGGACAGGCCGATGTTACTTGCATAATTGCAATTTTTTTTCTAAGTCAAAATTTTGGAATTTGTGTAAGTATCTTCGCAGTAAAATTCAAAGATAGTTAAAATACAAAGATGAGCTAAAGATGGAAAATTGCAGTCAACTCATTCCTCATTGTAATTCAACATATATTAGCACATCGAAACCTTCAAGTAAAATTTGACAACAAATTACATCAAGCTTCAGTATGAAAAGCTCTAATATGTTTAATAATAATTTACTATATTTCACATCAAAACCAAATGAAGTTGCAAAAATGAATTTCAGAAAAAAAATTCATGTATCACTAGTGTCAGTACATGAAACATGTAGCTTATTTCCTTCAGGCTACATAAATTAAAAAAAACAAACTAAAAACTTAATCGATAAAATTCAAATTTTCATATGAAAGCTCTCATCAACATAAATAAATTCTATTTTATTAACATTAGTTGTTGGAATTCAATTTCAAACAAGTTGAACTTCAAGAAACCAAAAATTCCTCAAGAAACTTTTATAAATGATTAAACTTCATAATATCGTCATGATATTGCTACGTTTTATTTTCAAAATTGAGTTCTTCAAATCAAATTAAATGTTTTATGAACAATTAAATGCATAGTTAGAAGAACTTTTTACACCTTTTTTTTTAATAAAAACTGATATGAAAATTCATGGACATCCAGCTTGCATTTGTTATCTTTCACTAAAATTGATGATGCTTTTTGAGCTTATTACAGGACATTACTGTAAATAAAAAACTGAAATTTGATGATTTGTTAAAAAAAAAAGGGTTCTTCGCATCATAAAAAATTTGATATCACATGTAAAATCAAATTCAAACACATGGTAACTAACTTCAAAGAATTTGTTTGTGATTATGTAAAATATGATTGATGTTACTTTTGAATTATTTTTTACTCAAATACATCTCTTATGAGTTTTCTTCAGTACATCATGAACATCATAAAATGATTTTTATTTCCAATGATCAGAGTATAACTGCATTATATTGCACAAAATCTTTAAAAATACGTTCATATTCTTATGTCAATAATCATAAAGATAAAGATATGCATCAGCAGAAATAAAATTTGTTTATCAACAGATCTTCAAAAGTGATCTTCCGTCCAAACTTCCAAATTTATTCTCCAAGTTTGTGTTAGTTGTAATTATTTTTTTCCAAATTCAATTCTTAATCCGTTATCGAAAAAATTAAAGAAATTTTATCATAAAGTGATTTGAGTAGAAGATATGTTTACATTAAATACATTTTTCTTGCCTCAACACATCAGACATGTAAATTTGCAAAATAATAAAATATTTATAATATTCGTGGACAGATCTCTGCTTAATTGCTACAGTAAATGTTTTTAAAGAAAGCTTATGCATTGTCCTAGTAATCAGAAATATCATCTTTCATCATGATGTATATGTATTATGAAATTAATGCTCAGTTCCATAATTGCAATTTTTTTATTGTACCTTATGATTTGTTGAAATCTTTTGTGAAGCTATCACAAAAAAGTTTACGAAATTGGGACAAGAACTCGGATCATGAATTCTTTAAGAATTCTTTAAATTTCTAAAATTAATTCATGTACATTTGAAAATAATCAATGTTGAAAAATAACTCAAGATTATGTTAATCTTGCTTAAATTCATCATGATAAGTCATGCAGTTAGCATGTCACTTTAAAATATTTAATATGATTAGAATGTTTCCAATTGCCACAATATTAAAGAGCAAATCATCTTAGAAGATGTTGCAGCAAAAGAAATATGAAGCAAAGCAAACAGAAAACTTAAATTATACATCGTTGTCTGCATTATGCACTATGCTTTTTTGATCTCTATGAAAGATAGTTCCTATTCACAAATATGGGAGCAAAGACTTGGTGACAAACTATCGGACTATCATGGTAGTTAGTATTTTTTCTAAATTATTTGGCAAGTTTGTGGAGTCAAAGTTGAGCACATGGGTTAAATCTTGTTAGAAGATAGTGTGGTTTCAAGCTGGTGTTGATCATAGATTCAACATTATAGATCATATCTTGATTTTGCGTGTTTTATTGAAGAAGTACAATGGAAAAGCTTTGTTTTGTGACTTTATCAATTTCAAGAAAGCTTTGGACACAATTCCTTGTAAGCTTTATGTGAAAGATTGCAAACCATTGGAGTATCATCAGATCTCTTAGCAAATGTGTCCATATTATACCATTCCGTTTGGGCCAAGATCAACACTTCTCAAATCAAAGACATTTTGAATAACATTGAAGTCATTCAAGGTAGTAATCTTTCATACTCTATTTGGAGTTTTCATAGATGATATAAAAAGGTGGTTAGAGTATTATGAAAATGAAGTTGTCAAACTTGAAGGCTTTGTCATCAAAGCTCTTTTGTATGTAAATGATGTCATATTACTAGCACGTAATGCCATTAGTTTACAAAAGTACTTTGACACTTTGGCTAGCTTTTGCACTCAAAATCAAATGGAGATCAATTTGGAGAGGTCAAAAGTAATTTGTGTAGGCACTAGATTCAAACATTATTTCTTTTATAAAGATTTAGAGTTGAAACAAGTGAGTAGTTACAAATATTTAGACATTAATTTCTATCACGATTATAGTTTGACACTTTGTGTGTAAAAAAGAGTAGAAATCGGTTTCAAAACTCAATATCCATAGCAAAATAGATGTATAGGAGCTCATCTAGTGTCTTGAAGTTTTAGAAAATTTTTCTTCATGAGATTAGTGTTTCCAGTTATCTTATATGGAACACAAGTGGGAGATCCAGGTTGTAAGAAGACAGGTTGGAAGCTTTTCGAGAGAATGCAAAAGATCTTCTTACAAGAAAAATTGGGTGTGAGAACCCAATTCTTCATATGCTATTCTTCTTGCGGAAATAAGTTACCTATCTCTTCAGGTTGAAGCTCTCTTCTTGACTATCACTTAAATTTGAAGAGTGACATCTATTAATGTTTCCCGATTTATCTTGAAGCTTTGCGTGCTACAAAAGGGATGGTTTGCAGATGCGATGATCTTTGAGGTGGAATGTGATTGAACTCAATTAAAATTTGCAACCTATGGTACTTTGCGAGAGCATTAAGCAGGAATTTCTCAACATTATTTGGAGCAGGTCAGTCATTAAATTGGAATTTTATCAACTTCATGTGAATCATATGCTTGTTTATTGTGAGCAAGTATATTTACTTGCGTACATCTCTATATCTTTCCGTTTTATTATTACCCGGCATAGAAAAAGATCTCAGAGTCTTGGAATTGAGTATGTACTTTGGTTAAACATGGATAGTAGTGTATTTAGTCGTAGATTATGTGATGGGAGAAAAGTTAAAGATGAATAGCATGTGTTTAGTACTTGTACTCAATATGTAAAGATTAAAATCTCATAAAATTGTTATTGATAATTTTTATTTTGAACATATTTTGAGTAGCATGATTTAGGTTTTTTATGAATGATGTTATTAACTTTTGTTATAGTACTTTGTAGGCTAACTAGTGTGGAGTTAGGTTGTTTGAATTATGTTTTTTGCATTTTGACCATTTGGGTTAGGGGCTTGGTCTATTTAACATTTATACATTAATCAAGAATTGACAGATAACAACTACCTTTGCTGAGCTATTTGTCGACACTTTCGGATTCTGACAGTAGTTCAACGGTTGAAATAGCGATTAATAACTACTTAATGTATCCGTGGTCTTCCAATTTGACTATTGACAGCTACCAGAACATTCACTGTGCTGTGATTTTTATCCTCTGAACTTGGTACATCAAACTCCTCGGACGAGTTCTACTTCCTATATAAGTTTGATCTCAGAGCTCTTTCTTCTCATATTGCTCTCTTTCTAATCAAAATCTTCGAAGGCGGCATGAAGTCATGAACTCGAGGTCAAGTGGTGGAGAACATGAGCTGGTCGTTTCCGGACGACGGATTTGGAGAGCTTCTACTAGCATGACTGCCTCATGTGAAATAGAAGAGTTGCCCATTGCCAACGATCGGACTGAGCCATCGAAAAAAATCAGAGAGGAAATTAGGATTATTGATTTTTGGCTTGCGATGAACGGCCGCTTGCGTTCTCAAAATCAGAAACTTGAGGACGAGGAGATGCCGCGCTGGTTTTCTGCGTCGAACGATCGGACGACTGTGACGAGTGAAGACGAGATACAGGAGGATCATTCTACTGAGAAAGGGCATGCGAAGGAAATTGTAGCGGCGTTGGTGGATTCTGAGGCAAAATGGCTTCAGATTAGCACCAAAGCTTTTGCCGAATACTCTAACCTTCGTCCAGATTTTCAGAGCGAGTCCGGATTTTTGAATTGTACAATCGGACGGTAAACTTTCAGTGCTGCTGCCAACATAGGCGCCCCTAGTTACGGCTTGGTCTAACTAATGCAGTGAATTGCAGGTATTGAAATAATCAGGAGTACTGGATTGATCTTGTGATGCAAAAGTTAACCATTGATTCCACGGTCTAAAATGCAGGTCTCACCTTTGAAATACATTCTGTAATTCTACTATCCAGGTGTCAATCTGGATTCACTTTATACATATACTTTCAGTCGACAAAGTCAATACTTCAGTGTACATATCATCATCCGCTTACGCTGAGCAATTGTGTTTATGTTTGTTGAGTTAAGTTGTGTGTTAGAAACTTCAAGAACTTCGATGTAAACTGCAATAGAACAAGCATATCAATAAATCCACTGCTTTCATCAGCTGGCTAGTTCTCTGAGTCCTTTTATTTGACGTCAAGTTAGCTGGTGACATCGGTCTAGGCGAGATGTGGTCAGGCAGTGACTATTAAACTATGACCTTGAGTTCTTCATGATTAACTTTGTGCTCATCATTCATTGTGTCCGAAGATGTCACGTCTATTTAGAACTCTGTGTATCTGTTGAGTTGTTGATCTCTACACAAGCTCTCAAGTATGTAGAAGATCAACCACCAAAATACTCTGTCGCAGTGGAGGATTTTGAGTTGCCTTGGTTGCGGAAAGCTAAATTCTGGAGTCTATGGGTACATATTCCCGAAGTCATCTCTTCGCAATATGGTCTTTGCTTCACAACATATAAAAGAGATTTCTGTAATCAAGATCTGGATGATGAAGTGGGATCTAAATGATGATGAGGAGAGAGTTAATAGAAGCACTTTCATGACAAGGTGAATTGTGCATTATCTACAATAAAACTCATAGAGAAAAGTCATACACAAATATTTGCTTGATTGACACTAAGTCCATGGTAAAACATGAACACCTAAAATGAGTAAACTCTAGTCTGTAAAAAAGATTTTCTACCGGAATTTTTGTATAATACTGCGAACTAAATTCTAACTAACCAAAATTAGACGAACGAAATTTACTCTAGATTTGAGCTATATCCTAGCTATTCTACTGTTGATTAAGAATTGACAGATAACAAGATAATAAGCTCCAGTCACATCCTCACTCGCTACCTCTGCTGAGCTAATTGTCGACATGGACCGATTCTGACAGTGTCCTTCGGATGAGCTAATTCTCGACATGGAACCGATTCTGACAGTGTCTTTCTGCTGAGCTAATTCTCGACATGGAGCCGAATCTGACAGCGTCCTTCAACTGTTGAGAGAGCAATCTGCAACAATGTACCGTATCCGTGGTCTTCCAATTTGACTACTGACAGCTACCTGCATTCGCTGTACTTAGATTTGATCCTCGGACGAGTTTGACTTCCTATATAAGTTTGATCTCAGACCTCTTTCTTATCATTTTTCTCTCTTTCTAATCATAATCTTCGAAGGTGGCCTGAAGTCATGGACTCACGTGGTGGAGAAGATAAGCCGCTCGTCTCCGGACGACGGATTTGGAGGGATTCTACTAGCATGACTGCCTCATGTGAAATAGAAGAGTTGCCCATTGACAACGATCGGATTGAGCCATCGGAAAAAATCAGAGAGGAACTGAGAATTATTGATGAATGGCTTACGGAGGTCCGCCGCTTGCGTTCTCAGAATCAGAAAGTTGAGGACGAGATGCCGCGCTGTTTTTCCGCGTCGAAGGATGGGACGACTGTGACGAATGAAGACGAGATACAGGAGGATCATTCTACTGAGAAGATGGAGCCTGAGAAAGGGCAGGCGAAGGAAATTGTACGATCGGTCGGTAGACTTTCAGTGCTACTGCCAACATAGGCCCTACATATTCAGCTGACAGAGATATCTGTGATCTTGTGAGTAGGTTGAGTAAAACAGGATCTGGTTGTATCATAGACATGCATCGAGCTCGAGCTCCAGAGTTCATTCCAGAGGAACTCTTACTGTCTTACTCTTACTTATAGTTTTCTTCTTTCTTTCTTCAATGCCTCTGGATCATTCTACTGAGAAGATGGAGCCTGAGAAAGGGCAGGCGAAGGAAATTGTACAATCGGTCGATAGACTTTCAGTGCTACTGCCAACATAGGCCCTACATATTCAGCTGACAGAGATATCTGTGATCTTGTGAGTAGGTTGAGTAAAACAGGATCTGGTTGTATCATAGACATGCATCGAGCTCGAGCTCCAGAGTTCATTCCAGAGGAACTCTTACTGTCTTACTCTTACTTATAGTTTTCTTCTTTCTTTCTTCAATGCCTCTGGATGTACAGTGTTTAGTATTCTCTGCGGTAAGTCATATCATAAAACTTGTGGTCCCTGCAAGTTCTACCCTGGCAAGTTTTGTAATGAAATGTGACTCTCTTTAATAATCATTGGAGATTGTCACCGTTGAAGGCTGTGTTGGATGTGTATCGAATCGACTACATAAATTACATCTGTATTTCTACTATCTGGATGACATCTACTACCTTTTGTGTGCGTGGAACCTGTAGCCTTCTGTAATCTATACAGGTCCAGTGTCGGTCGGTTCTATAACTGAGTTTTACATGGCGTGTTTACATTTTCTCTTCTGTGGAGTCGTACTGTTTCCTCTTGAGTTTACTCAAGTGGCTACCTGCGTGACACCGCGTAGACACTGGACCATTCGCATGCCAGGTAATTTTTTTAGTTCTAAGGAATGGAGGCTTGTATTTTTTGTATGTTTACACCAGGTGTTCTAGGCTGTCTAATTTGCAATCTGCTCGATCGATCATCGAAATTTGATCGAGTAGACACGAGATTCTTGCGCACCCTAAAGCTTTATATGATGCTTTATTTAACTTAGTCTTCCCTTTGAGGGACTAGGCCTTTACTTATTTATCTTCGTTCTTCGGCTTTCTCCACACAGCTGTCAAGTAAGAAATGGACTGCGTTCGCCCCAAATTCAGTAGACTTTCAGTGCTGCTGCCAACATAGGCCCTACATATTCAGCTGACAAAGATATCTGTGAGCTTGCGAGTAGGTTGATTAAAACAGGATCTGGTTGCATCATAGACATGCATCGAGCTCATCGAGCCTTTCCACACTCATAAACATCGTCTGCAATCAAGCTAAAGCTTGAGCATTTGACTAACCACGCGAAGCAATTGCTGGGTAACGACTATTGTAAACATCTCTAGGAGAAAACTTGTAAATAGTGTGCATTTGGAGAAAATGTGTGAAATTTCAGCTGAATTCAATACCTCAATGTCATCAGTTGAATGCAAAACTAGGATCGGTTCGTAAACCCGACGCAGATATTGGAATGTAAATGATGATATGATGTTTCCTTGTCAGTGTGTTACACATTTTATTGGAATCCGATCATCTTCGTTTCTGATTGTCAACATCAGCTTTGCGCCGTCGAAGAGAGATTCGCAACCCAGTTGGTGCTACACTTAAAATTTCCATCGCTTCAAATCGAGCCACCTTCGCTACTTACGAACATACGACCGCAAATGTAGTATTATACTCTAGTGTGCATCAAGCATATACGGTATATGTAGAGGGTGGACATCCACAAAGAACCCTACTTTATGTATTTAATTATGTTATTTAATTCATTATGTGATGTCGAGAAAGACATTTTAAAGACAACAATCTCAAAATAGATAGTTAAGAATGCTTAAGATGAGTTAACTCCATCGCATTACATCATGCAATTTTGTAACATCAAATATCACAAGAAACAAATTGACATACACACATATATGTGTATTTATAAGAACATATTCACAAGAACAAGGTAGGTAATCGTAGTGTTAAAAATACAGAATTCAATCGAGAAAGATACATTTGGAACTTCAAAGAGCTCAAGTTGATGAACTAGCTTGTTTCCACCGTACCTTCTTCTCTAACGTTTAACTTCAAGCATTGAGACCTTGATAGTCCTAAATCTAACTCTGTCCACAACAGCTAAGGGAAACTTCAGAGTGAGTGGCAGGAATTCGCAATCTTCATTACCTGCCAAAATTGGCATTTTACAGGAATATCTAACCTACTAAATTTATTGTTTTATAATAAGCGATAATTGTCATTGCGTGTAGAAATTAAACATCAGAATACAAAAATATTGGTACAATCATTTATCATCAAATGTGCTCTGTTATTAACTCCAGATTTATCTTTTACACACTTCACGTTTAATCTTGATCTTCCATGCATTCATCCATCCATTTGCTCACTCAGGACGAGAACGTCTAATGAATTACAATTTATGCCACAACATGTTCGTTGTTGGATTTATTGATTCAAGGAGTCCAAATGCCTCGATGACTTGCTTTGCTTGCCTTTAACGGAAAGAGTGATCAGTAACATGGAAATCTTGCGACAATGTGATTTCAGCTCTACATGATGTATATCTAATCTGAAAAGCTCTGAAACCGGTCAGAAAAAGTTAATTTTGTCTCAAGAAGGTAATAGGAGAACTAACAGACTTAACTTGTTGAAAGGTGTTATACACAAGAAGCTGCGTAGAGTTTTAGGGTTCCATCCGTTCCGAAGATTTTGTTGTTTAGCGCGTTCTTTGCGTTTGTCTACCGCGTTTGTTTTACTTTGTTTGTATTTCTCAACGCTATTGTCATTGTTGTGCACACATGTTTAAACGTAAATCGTTGGACATGAAGAAAAAGTTTTCAAATCTAAATTTTTGAATCAAATTGGAGATATCCATGAGAAGCATCATTAGCATTTTCGGTTGCATCTTCAATTATTTCTAAAATTTGAAAAGAAAGAAAAATTATAAAACATGTGGCGTTAGAACAAATCCTTATTATTTTAAAAAGACTTTTACATCATCGCAAGTGGAACTTTTTAGAGACATGGTGCATTGATGGCATATTCATGTTGAAATCATTAAGTCCACGCTTAATAAGATTGGCAAGATACTCAAGAAAAAATCTCTGTTCTTTTTAGACAAGATTTGGTTTGACTTTGCGTAATGTTTGACAGCATCACACACAATGTTATTTTGAATATTTTTTGTGTCAAAATTATTTCTCAAGAAGTAAGTAAAACGCATTTCAACATCCAATAATTGTAGCTGTAAAAAATTGCATCTCATGCAGATAAAGAAACATTTGCATCAATTTTGCAAAATGTTAATCGATGTATCACACGAATTCATTATCAACTTTGACAATTCAGTTTTACATCATCAAGATCGTACTGCACAGTTCATTTGGATGGTTGTAGAGACAAGTAAAGCAAAGAATGAATCATAGTAACGTTTGGAATTAACGCTTCATGTGAAAATTTTACCACGCAGCTTATCAAAAAGAGTGTTCATAAATATATTTTGATTAACATTCAAATCGCAATGAGGCTTGAAAATGATTTATGATCATCAAGCTAAAGTCAAGCAAGATACATTATATTATATGCGTATGCTTCACAAATACAATGGAATTGCAAAGAACCGCAACCACATCTATATATTTCAATAC